CCCAGCAGACTAGGGAGACGCGGAGCGGCTTTTCTCAGCAGACACCTCAGTTTGAGATTAAAGGACTGAGGGAAGTGAGGTGTGGGAGAATAAAACTGAGCTCTGGAGAAATGTTTGGCTAGAGTTTCCCCTACAATATGTACCAGTTCCGACTTACATACAAATTCAACTTAAGAACAAACCTACAGTCCCTATCTTGTAGGTAACCCGGGGACTGCCTGTATCAAATAAACTTAAAATGGTACTAACTAAATAAGAATTTGGTTGTTAAGTACAGAGAGAACTAACATGCGCTCTACCAGGTACATAATTCTATTGAAGAATTTTTAGTTTCATCATAATTCCCAAGAAAAGGTAGTAATTTTTTTTTTTGGGGGGGGGGACGGGGATTTTTTTAAACATTTCAAAAACAGATCTAGAACATTTTTTAAATTATGGGTCTGTTTTATATATTTACTACAGCCAAGGTTTTAAAAACATTCTTCACCATCGTGCCTCCCTTATTTTCTCTTTAAGATGAGAGAAACAAGCTGTGGAAGAACCCCCTCATGCGTCAAACTCACCACAATGTAATTGCAACTAATTTTTTTTTTCCAATCACTAATCCAGAACATGTTAGAAATGTGCTACTTTCTTTAAAAATTACTTAAGTAGTTTATATCTAAGAAATATTTAACTACTGTTTACACTAACACCCCAGATTGCGAACTTACCAAGTTCCTTGTACCATCAGGAGCAGCTAGGTGGCACTGAATATAAGAATTAAAAACCTGAACAGCATGTTGGGTAAAGAAACCTTTGTGGAAATGTTTGTCATCTTGTACCAAGGTAAGCCAGGATTCCAGCAATTTATCGTATGCCTCCATGTATACCATGTCATCTTTGTCTAGCTGTAAGAAAAAGATTATTACCAAACTCAAAGAGAAACACCAAAATTGCATTAAAGATTATAAATCTTGAACAGATATTCTACACATTTTTATAAATGGTGAATATAAAAATTTGAGCTGAATTCAGTTACAATCTGGGAGGCTGTCAGAGGAAGGGTTCCCAGTGGCTTTGAAGAAATTGGCCACCACCACACTTTAAATAAATAAATAAAAACCAAGAAGGTGAAAGAATCCTCTAATCTGGCCAGAAGCACTGTTGGGATTTGAATCTTCATAGTACACAACTAAATATTGCAGGGATCATTTCACAAGACCACATACAATAGACAATTGTAAGTGCTGGTAATATGAACATATATCGAACGTTACTTTCAAAGGTATTTGAGTGGAGGTTACCATTTACAATTTACACACACAAAAATCCAAGGGAAAAAACCAGGTCTCAAAATGAAGTTACTTCAGACAGATGAGGAGCCCCTGTCTGAAAAGTTTCTTTAACACTATTGAACCACATGACTATACTAAGGCTGAATTTAAACAATAATGGTTAGTATATATATTCAAATGTCACTTAACTGCCTTTCTGAAGTACAGCTGGAAAAATATTCCAAGTGTACTGCTGCAAGACCTCCTTTTACTAAATGGTCCTTATGACCCTTGAGCATGAGGTCTACCGTGGTATAATAATTTGGGACAGTAGAACATAATGAATTGATGACTTGATAAAATAAAAAGAGTGACTATGGCGCTAAGCCTGCTCCAGATAAAAGCTTGATGTCCTTTTTACAATAGGCTTGTAGTGAAAGTCCTCACTGTAACAGGTGAATTTCTATCCTCATGCACATTTTATCCTTTCCTCTTTAAAGCAATTTTTAAAACCTGGTTACTTATTGTATCATTGTGCATTTACCTTTTCTACTATGTAAAAACTTATTAAAATGTACTGTTTTCCTGGCATTAGTTCTTTCTACTTATTCTTCTCCAATATACAACTGACTTTTTCCCATTTTTATTTTCCATTCAATATCATTTTTCTACATTTCATAACTGCTCTCTTTCACCCTCCATTTCCTCCTATCCCAAAAAAATATGTTCGCTATTCTTCCAAGTTTCTAGTCTTTCCTCACTCTCCCTTTAGAACTCTTCTCCTCTGGATACTTGTGGTGGTAACATTTTTAGTACAGGTTGAACCTCTCTAAACTGGGATTTTCTGGTCTGGCAACATTGGACCACGGATGTTCCAGGGCCAGAGATTCCCGGTGGAGGGCTGGAAGCTGGGAGCCCCGTTGGCTGGCAGGGCAGCAGGCTGCCAGCAGCCAGGATAGAAAGCCTGGCATGCCACAGTGGGGCTGCCCAGTAGGGCCGGGAAGCCCAGTAGGGCTGGCAGGTTAGCGGGGCTGATGTTAGGCTCCAGCCAGGCCAGGACTAGGGACTCTAGTGATGGGGGGGGGGCAGAAATAATGAGGCAAATTCCCTCATCTGGGACTGATCAGGTCCTGAGGGTTCTGGACCAGGGAAGTCCAACCTATATGTCCAAAAATAGTTATACAAAGGTAAAAGTACCCTTTTTTTAATGTGTTGGTGTAATTACTGCCAAAATATGACTCTCTCTTGGAGTACAGGATTTTTTCTAGTAAATTAGCATTCTGAATGAGTCATGAAACACAAACAGGTGTCATATTAATTTTGAAACTCAAAATCATTTATGCTCATTTGAATTTTCACTCTGAACACACATTCTGATGGACTGTCTGTTCCTGATGCAACACAATATAGGAATAAGTCTTGAACTAAAACAAAAACATCTGACTGATTAAATGAAACTTTTCAGGTGCCAGAAAAGTTCCCAGAATATCATATCAACTAGCTGGTAAAGTAACTTCATCAGTCTTCAAATCTACTACATATTTTAGAGAGTTTGTGCATCTGTATGTCTGTGTGTGTGTGTCTGTCCATCTGAGTCCATTTGTTCAAGAACTCCTCCTAAATGGTAAGATCTTGGACCACCAAATTTGGTATGCAGCTACCTCTTACCATATAAAAGCCAAGTCAGGATTTGGTTGTGCCAGGACAATGGGATGTGTGTGGAATGAGACGGTTTCACTTCAAACAGAAGGGGAGGGGGTGAGAGTAGGGACAGTTATACTCACATGTGACCACAGGGTGGCAGCAAGCACAGAGGGCAGTTATACTCACAAATGACCACAGGAGGACAGCAAATGCTCCAGCCCCAAGGAGCAGCTGCTGGCTGGCAGCACAGCCTCTGTAGCCCTGGGTTTCCCCCAGGGAACAGTCACCCACCGTGCCATGCACCTCCCTCATCCTGGGGAGAAGCTGGTAGGCAGCCTGTGCACGCACACACACGCACACATACCCCTCGTGTGTTAGCCCTGGAGAGAAGCCACCCTGGGCTGATCCAGACTGAAGCAATGCTGGGTAAGTCTTCTACAGGTTGGACCTCCTTGGTCCGGTTCCTTCAGAACCTGACCCATCCGAGATGTAGTTTTCAGACCAAGGAAGGTCTTGGGAGGGTAGGAGGCCCCAGCCCTTCAACTGGGCTCCTCTCCCCAGCTACCTACCACTGCTGCCTTAGCCCTCTGGCTGTGGCGCTGAGGACTCTGTGAGCTCCAGCAGCCCCAGCCCCCCTGCCAGCCACACAATCTCTGGTGGTCCCACCAGTTGTGAAGTCTGCAGCCATCCCCTTCTGCCCCCCCACCAACTGCAGGCTCAGTGGCCTTGACCCCACCCCGTGGACTTCAGCAGCCCCACCAGCTTTCTGGCCCTGCTGGCTGTGAGCTCTGTTGCCTCTGCTGGCTTCCCAGTGTGGCTGGCTGCAGGCTCTGATGCCCTGCAGGCTACTTCAAGACCACTGATGTTGCTGGACCAGAGAGTCCCAGACCACGGAGGTTCAACCTGTAGTATTTTTACTATAAAGTGTATTGAACACTAGGGCCTGATGTTCACTTCAACACACTGAATATGTCACTGCCAAATCATTAAAAAAACCCTTAAGCTCACAGGTACAGAGCTACTCTTCTGACAGCATACTAACAGTATGTTTTGCCTAGCTGTACTAGATTTTTTCCCTTTCCTGCCAACTAGTTGGTCATTAAAAATATCCTGGCTGCCACCATTCATTCCCACACCTGCAGAATTTTCTAATCACAATATTGCATTTCCCAGATACATGGCCACAAATGTTACAAGATTGTAAACATGTGGTGCAGACTGAAGCAATGCTGGGTAAGTCTTCTACAGGTTGGACCTCCTTGGTCCGGTTCCTTCAAAACCTGACCCATCTGAGATGTAGTTTTCAGACCAAGGAAGGTCTTGGGAGGGTAGGAGGCCCCAGCCCTTCAACTGGGCTCCTCTCCCCAGCTACCTACCACTGCTGCCTTAGCCCTCTGGTTGGATGAAATAACAGGATCTTGGTAACTAATTGACCATTCATTATCAGTTGGAAATAGGTCAATGGAGGGATGATAGGAGTTGCTATAGGGAACTTTCTGGGTGTCTGGCTGGTGAGTCTTGCCCACATGCTCAGGGTTTAGCTGATCGCCATATTTGGGGTCAGGAAGGAATTTTCCTCCAGGGTAGATTGGCAGAGGCCCTGGAGGTTTTTCGCCTTCCTCTGTAGCATTGGGCACAGATCACAGCTGAAGGACTCTCTGCATGTTGGGGCCTTCAAAGTATTGGAAGGCTTCAATATCTGAGACATAGGTGAGAGGATTATTCTAAGAGGGGTGGGCGAGATTCTGTGGCCTGCACTGTGCAGGGGGTCAGACTAGATGATCATAATGGTCCCTTCTGACCTTAAAGTCTATGAGACACAAACCCAGAACTAGTAGAACTGTTTCCTTATTGAAAATCTGAGACACATCAGATGGTTGAAATGTAACCATACAGGCATGGTAAAAAGTGCAACATTAAATTCACCAGATACAAAAATCTATTTCCAAGATCTAGAATTATTTTGAACCCTGCTGTTATGAATATCAGTAAAATCCCCTTTTTTCTTTCACCTGGCAGCATACTTTTCTAAGAGTCAATGAATGTCTTGCAATCTCTCTTCCTCATGCTGCTGAATCTGAAAATATTTAAGAGCAACACTTAAGAGAAATTGCATCAAAAGCAATCCTGTATCTCATTACATACTCCTAGGGACTCATGTGTTTTAGGTAACCACGAGCCATTATGAAAAGAACACTAGCTTGCATCCAAAAGATAAGTCATCCCAGCAAATATTGTTCAGTTTGGCCACTTGCTGCAGATTTTTGCAGTTTGTGGTTTTACTGAGAAATGGTATACCCCATTGCGAGTCTAATAATCACTTCTGGTATGCATAGGTGGATCCTAAGGATGATTCATTTTTCTTAGTACTTCAGAAACAAGAGGGAACAATGGGTGGCTTTCCTCCCTGTAGGTCTTCATCTTTTCTCCAAAAAAACATCATATATACATATTTTAGGGATTTGTGCACCTGCAAGTCTATTTGTTCAAGGACTTCTAAACAGTAAGAGCTAGAACCACTAAATTTGGTTTGCAGCTTTCTCTTTTCCTAACAAAGCAAAATACAGGTTTGGTTGTGCCAGGATAACCAGAAGTTTTCCACAACATGGAAAGGAAGGGGCTGTTCAAAGGGACACTACTGAGAGTTACTGGGGGCAAAAAATTGGCAGGGGAGAGCTTTGCTGCAGAGTATCCACTGGTGGTAGCCAGACTGAAGCACCTAGGGTTGCCAGATGGTTTCAACAAAAATACCGAATGCCCCACCACCACCACGAGAAAAAAAAAAAAACACACCACCCCACACACACCTGGGAAAAAATTCTGTTGAGGTTGAAAAAAGAGGGGGCCCCAAAAGTTATTAACCAAAAAAATAAATACAAATAAAACAGCATTAAAATAGCATGACCCCTTTAATTGTGTGCAGAGTCAGAACAGGGATAGGAAGAGAAGAGGTTGAGCACTAAGACCCAGGGAAGGCATTGCTTCCCCTTGTTCAGGTCTTTAGGTTTTTGTCAGCGGCCATCTTGTTTTCTTGATCGAGCCAGACGGTGCTTCCCTGCAGAACCAGGTAAGCAGGGGGCTGGGATCGGAGGGATCCCGGGGGCTGGGCCCAGTTGCTGAGTGTGTCACAGGGTTGCCAGGTGTCCAGTATTTTTGCCTCCTGGCAGGGAAAAAAACCCAGAAAATACCGGACATTTCAGGTGCCCAGAATTTCCTAAAAAAATTTACTGGACAGGAGGCGAAAATACCAGACTGTCTGGGTCAATACTGGACCCTGGCAACCCTAGAAGCACCACCATTTTGCCTGTCAGCACACTAGGTAAATAGCCCCCCGCCCCAAACTCTTTCCTAGCCTTTGGAAACAGAGCCGGCCTGGGGCAGCCAGCGGAGGGCTGGGGATAAAGAAAAGGCCTGTGCCAGATGGGGCCCTCTGCCCTGAGCCCCTCTTCACCACAGTCTCCTGTACTGCCCCTCTCCCCCCACACACACTCCCAAGGTCCTACACTTTCTAGTGTAGAAAGGTATTTTCTAATATAAAGTGCTAATTGTAAAGATCCGTCAACAGCAAAGGCAGGAGAACTCAAGCCCTTCCAATTATGAGAAAACCTCCACATAATACATTTTAAAAGCTTTTCAATAAAGGATTTTTCTAGAGTTTTTATTGGTAAAGCCCACAGATAGAAAGTCGCCTTTTTTATAAGCATATACACTTATAACTGTTATTCTGAAATAACTATGTGAGCGTGTACACAGCCATTCTGTAATTCGAAATTATTTAGAAATAATGGGTGGCATACTCCGAAATCTGAAAGCCTCATTCTACGAAAAATAGCACCTATTCCAAAATAGCTATTTCGAAATAAGGCATGTATATTTCCACTGCTGCTATTTCGAAATAGCCCCTCACCAGGGCCATTCTATTCCTCTAAATCAAGATAGCACATCTACATTAGGGAAGCCTGACTTGGACTAATTTTGAAGCTTCCCTGTAGTGTAGACAGGCTATTTCGGAATAACTATTCCAGAATAGCTTCTTTCAAAATTGATGTGCAGTGTAGATGTAGCCTAAGGGTATGTCTACACTATGCTGCTTTTAATGACAAGGCTGTGTCGACACAGCCCTCTTGCTAAAAGAATGGTTAATGTGAATGCTTTGTGTCATCATTTTTGTCAACAAAATACTTCCACCCCCAAGAAGTGGGTTTCACTTTGCTGAAAGAATATACATGTGCACTTGCTTCAGCAAAACCTTGTCATTTGGAGGTGGTGGATGGTTAAGCATCCATGAACAAAAAAAAAAGTTGTGTCAAGCAAGTGCAAGAGCTTGACATAACATAGGATGAATAGGATGGGGGAAGTAATAAGGAATGTCACAGCATCTGTATTCACTTAAAACGGATGTTCAAGCTTCGGGTAAGTTTTGCCCATATGTGCACATAGGCCATTCCAAGCTTTCGAATCTATAGTTTGTTAACTGTTTATAAGCACTTCTGAGAAGTTCTACCTGAACACTTATGCCAGGGGTTGGCAACCTTTCCAAAGATTGGCATGCCAAGATTTAACCCTCCTACCTTGGCCCATACAGCTCTCTCAAGAGGGAAGGGGCTCTCTCCACTGCACACCCTGTGGGCCACATGGGTCAATGCAAACCTTTCTGTGGACCTCTAGTTGCTAATGGAAGCTCAGTGTTAATTTCATAATTATACCGGAGTAATTTTGCTAGTGTTGCAGCTAGGGAAAGTGGTTTAATTTAAATTAAACAGACTAAACATTTTAACTCTCTCATGTTAATTTACCAAACTTCATTTTAAATAAAATAGAATATTTATGTCACATGTTTTCTTTATTTATGGCAGGGGTAGGAAACTTTTTTGGGTCAGAGGCCACCGACCCACAGAAAACTCAGTTGGGGACCACACAGTGAAAAGCAAAACAACTCCTGCAAAAACCCCCAACCCTCACTGATGTGCTCCCAACTAAGACACATCACTCTTCCGGGGCACCACACACCAGAAGGGACAGAGAGGACTGAGGTTCGGGGCTTCCCATTAGCCAGATTTACTTTTTTGGAGTTCTGGAGTTAGTGGAATTTCTGGATCCCCGTAGGCTCCGGGGTGGGGACAAAATGAGGGGGTCAGTGTGTGGGACAGGGCTGCCAGCAAATGGGATAGGGATGGGGGCAGGATGTGAGAGGGAGATGAGGTGCAGAAAGGGGAGAGGTTGTTAGGTCTGGGTGGGAGGCAGGGTGCAGAAGCAGGCTGGGAGTAGGGCATCTGGCCAGGAGGAAGGGTGTCTGGGTCAGGAGGAGGGTGTAGAGTCTGGCCAGGAGGGAGGATGAGGAGCAAGGGAGGTGACAGCACAAGCTGGGGGTGAAGAAGCTTGCCAGGGGGAGGAGAGTGAATGAGGGGGATTGGGTGTAGGGGCATGGGCATGAGAGGAAATGCTTACCTAGCTTCGCATCCCCTGCAGTGGGAAAAGCTTCTGGACAGCATGTCACGGTGCTGCCATTCCCCCAGTGGGATGAGGAGGGACCTCAGCCCCCACCCTGCTGCGGGGAGCTTGTGCAGCCCCAAGGCTACAGCACCAGCTCTGGCTTCCTGCTGGGAGGTGCGGGGTGTGTGTGTGAAGAATGCCCAGACCCCATCAGACTGGCTCATGATTCTCAGCAGAGCAAGCAGCTTCGTGCACTGTCAACCCCTAGCAGAGTGAGGAGGGACGGGGGAGAGAGAGAGAGAGAGCGGAAGCGCCCCTGCCAAGCCTGAGTGCGCCCTGCCCCACAGTGCCCCAGCCAGGATCTGGGCAGTTTCTGCAGGGGCTGAAATGGCTGCTTCAAGGCACTGAGATCTGGGAGTAGCTCTGCTGCATTTTGTGGCTGCCTCGGACCCGCTTGGCACCCACCCTTGGCAGCAGCCATTGTAAGAACGAACAAGCAGCCACGTGGAGATGAAGGAGGTGGCGACGGCACGGCTGGGGCCCCGCTTGCCAGAGTGTCCTATGGGGGGAGGAAGGGAGCTGCACGATGGCGAGGAGTTGCTGGCAGCAGCATCTATCACGCTGGAACTGGGGAATACTGTGGTGTGAGCCAGAGCTCAGAGGTGCCTCCGAGCACCCAGCTGCTGTACATGCAGCCTAACCTGCTGCTGGGGAAGGAGGAGGGTGCCAGCAGCAGATTTAGGCTGTATGCACAGTGGCTGGGCGCTTGGAAATCCCCCTGAGCCGGTTATGGCTGCGTGTGCCACTCAAAATTGGCTCATGTGCCACACGTTGCTGACCCCTGACTTAAGCCTATTAAAACTTGCTAGTGGAGCTGTCAATTTAAAATGAGGAAATTTAACAGGCATTTTAATCAACATGAATTCTAGTTTAAATTAGACAGACAATGATTTAAAGGTGCATAATTATTTCTAAGGCTCTTCATTATTAATCATATTGTTCTGAGCTCTACACGCATCTCTTAAATCTGATTACTGTAATATAAATTTAACTAAAAGTTAGCAGCAACTTTCAAACAAAGGAACCTCAAAACCATTACAGAATGGGGCTAAGATAGCCAAACATTACTAAGCAATAACAAATTGATTATGTTAATTTGATGTTCATTAATAAATTCAATAAAAATGAACACCTCAACTTTTTCAAGAATCAATTACAGTTTAGGAACTGTACTCACCACTTCTTCTAGTGCAGCACTTCTTCCAAAAGAACAGGTGAGGTGTGTGAGGCAGTTAACAAATGAAGAAAAGAGTTCATTTGGAATGGCAGTTAAAACATTGCGAGGAAACACAGTTATCAGGTTGCTGAAAACACTGGAGATTCCCACTGCTTCAGAGTCCTCTATTTCAATTCTATAGATAGAAACAGCAGGTGGTTTGTTCCTTTCTTTCTTTTTAGGAAATTAGGAAAAAAGCTTAAAATTTATAACTTTATGGCTGAATTTTCTGCATTTAAGAAACTATATATACATTTTACTCTCTTCAAGAAATGCTTTTTTAAAAACAATGTTATTCCATTTTAATAGTCCAACTCCAAACACAAATTACGCAAAGAAATAAACCATACTGGCTCTCTCCCTTCTCCACGCCAAAGAAAAGATTAAAAGATGACATCTAAAGTTAAAGGGCAAGTGTACATACCCATTGATAGTATTCAGTAATCCCTCAATGAAATGTGCCAGATAATCAACTTGTGAACCTTCATCAGGGAAGACTGGCCCATGCAGAGAAGCTAGCTGTGCTAGGCACTGTAGAGAGTCTTGTGCCATATCTGTATCCTCTCTGACTTTTCGATGTACCTTTTATGAAGTGAAATAAATTAATAATGGAAAAAATAGTGTGGTCTTACAATAGTCACATGGGTCTCAATCTAAAAGAGCAGACACCAAAAGCACTTAGTCTGTTTTCTAGTAAATCTGAAATAGCATGGTTTCTAGGGCATTTCCATAACCTAGAGTAAATGTCAAGATTGCTCCTCAGTTTATTAGTGTCATAAACCACGACTTAACTAACCAAAACTAACACTTAACTACATTTTAGAAATTTAGATGTCTAGTGCATGTTATATCTTAGAGAGAAAAACAGATGCCAGCCACTCAGACATACTGCTCCTTCTAAAAACAGCAATAATGACAGTCATCTGTATTATGCTAACTATGCCTAAGCTACCGCATCTTGCTAAAGTTAGTTGATAAGTTCAATCAAGATTATATAGATGCTTCTTTAGCAGAGGTAAACACTGAAGGCACACAAAACAAGTGCACTTCATCCTTGGCACCATCTTTGTGACTGCTAGTAAACTTTCTTCATTTATGAGAATGAAGTGTTACATCACTTCTTGTGTGGTTATCAATTCTGGATTAAAATAAAAGTCTCACATATCAATATATTTAAAACACATTTTAATATATTATAGAATTATGAAATACGTACTCCAAAGCTTTTCTTAGTACAAGCATTTTGTAGGATATAACAAATAGTATGGTACAATAAATACTATTATAGTCAGCCTCTGGGGGAAAAACAGTCTTATTTAGTTGATATATATAAAAGCAATGTTAAAATCTTTTTGGACATTTCTCTATTTAGCCCATCGAAATTTTATCCAAGCAGTAACTGTGCAACTAACACAAACCTCTAAATGATTCAGAAAGATAAGTTATAACTATTTTAACTTTGGAAAGATTAAATCACATGAAAACAATTTTGGAATTAAAAAAAATCATTCCTATACCACCTTACTGAAATAAATCTTACCCCACCTAGAAATTAAATTTTTTCTCCTTTAAAATAGCAGTCTTACAAAACTCAGAACATTTCAAATAATTAGTTCAAATAAGTATGCAAATTATCACTATTCATTTAACATTTGTATTTTAACAAGAATTTGATATTTACAGACGCACAGGCTACATTACTTCAAAATGCAAAATTAATGCTATAAGAATTACGCATTGCTACTTAGAAGTAACAGTGTGCTGTTTTGATTTTTGTTCATTCACAAAATGATTTAACAAATTGATGTATTCTTTACTTTCCATTAAATAAAATAAATATTTAAGATTCAGAAACATTCATCTACTGTAGATGACTGATAAGGCAGTTACTCAAAATTTAATACTGAAGAAGAAATTGTTTAACTTAGGAACTACTAAATACAGTTAAACCAGAAAGGGTTAACCTGTAAATCCAAAAGTTATTTGCATTAGAGATTCACAGCTGACAGTAGCAACTGTCTAGATTGTCTAGACAGCTGTTCATATTGCATGTAGCTGTTAAGCGTTCTGCCAGGAAGTTTTTCACCTTTTCAAAAACTGCTGGAGTAACATAAATTTTCAAACATATGAACCTCCTTTATGAAAAACTGAATATAGATGTGCATTCAAACTCACTTCAGACAAATCACTTTTTGTTCTAGAGACTTATATATGCTACCTAGTAACAACCCCAACAAAATTTTGGGTATATTACTGCTCCACTTTGCAAAAGCAACCCTAGCCTGAAGAATGTTGAGCTATAAGATCCCAAGAGATAGGATATAAAATAAGATTAGCATAGCAGTTTACATAAACAATTTGAATGCTGTTGCTGGGCTGCCTGCAAATATTAACAAAAATCAGTGGTAGAAAGTTATTTTACCCAACTTTAATATCAGGGGTTTTGTTTTGTTTTAAATACGAAATAATCTTGTGTTGCTCAGCTATTTTCCAGTTAGCAGATCCACTATGGACATTTTTTATTTCTATCTAGCTTATAATGTATGAAGTTTTAGGCTAAACCTGGATACGGAAATACAAAAATATTGCTATTTTTCAACTGTTCTATCAATCAAAGTGTAACAGCAGCTGTCTGTGTTGAGCAGCAACTCCTTAGTACAAAAGGTAACTGATAACACTGCTCATTCGTTATGCTCACAATTTCATCTGATGAACAGATATGTCCAAGATAAAAAAATGAATACATGATTAATTTTGAAAGGAAAAATAATTTAAGATACTTTATATGCAATGTATACCTTGATTACCTGATAGGAAAAAATTCAATGGTCTATCACCTTAGAAACTTGCTAGGTAAAAAATGATGTTATCAGCCTTGGTCTTACCTGGTACAACAGGAAGAATCCAACAATGTTTTAAAAGAAAAAGGAGTTGCTTCTGTGTGACTTGTATTATGAAAGTTGAAAAAGAATAAGACTTACTGTAAAGAAAAGCTCCATAACTCTGCTGTCCAGAAGGGTTTCACGCCACAACTCTGTTGGCTTTAGCATCACATTTTGTGAGGATTCAAACATAGCTATATAATGTCTGCCCAGTTATCTGGTGTCAAGGTCAACAATAACATTCCTACTTGTCTTTAAAAAAAAAAAAGTCTAGATACAACAAGATCCATTCAGAAAGAATGTAATGGAAACAATCTTTAAGCCTCTCCACATACACAGCATAATTCATGCATGAGGCCAAGGAATAAAAGGTATTAAGTATTGAAAAAAAGAATGCTCCAGGAATGTTAGATAACAGTTTGATCATAATTATGAGACATGCCATAGTGATATGATCACTTTGATAACCAGGATGTCTAATGTGACGGGGAAGAAGGGAAAAAAGCAACCGCAATTAACAGGTGTTAAAATTTATGCAAAATAGGAAGTCATTTTCAAAAAAAATTTCCTGGCAGCTTTTATAAAGGCTTTATGATTGCTAAAGATAGCTCTCTGAAGCATATCCTATTTTGCTAAATAGCTAAATATGCTTCACAGAACGAAAATATGTTCTCCCATATTACTCTAACTTTTTTATTATGATAGAAAGAATAAAAGCATAAGGCACCACAATTTTTTTTGTCTATTAAGCATATGTTCTTAAAAGAGAAACCAGGGAACTACATACTGCATCTATGAATTAATTGCAGAGAACCATCTAATTGCACATTAAATTAGATGCATGGAACTCGGCAAAAGTCCTAAGGTCAATTTATGACTATACTAAAGTACATAAATATTTAGAGAAACATTGAAAATACACCACACAATACGGTCTGTGGTTAAAGGCATCATATATATCCTAGATCTCTCAAAATATGTAAAATTCTAGACTTTAGAGTTTATACAACACTAGTAGACATCAATAAGCTCTACCATATTGATCACAATTCAAAAGAGTAAGCAAGTGGATTTTTTTAAGACAAAAATCTAAATATATGTGGCATTAACAAAAGTGTGAGCACAAAGCAGGATGCAACTCTTACTGCCACTTGTTTAGGAACACATGAGTACCACAACTCCGACCTTATGGCAGTAGCGCCAAAACAGAACCTCACCATCAACATATACAACTGAACCCTCTTAAAGTAATTTTTTCCATAGAGCAATTTCACCGTATGTAGGAGATTCACTAAAACCAGAACTGCAATAATTCAGGACTTACTACTACTTCAATACAAAACGAATTTCATTACTTACAAATTTATCAAACAACGCGAACAGTATGGAGATACACAATAGACTATTTCATAGAGAAATATAAGATAACGCAGTCTTTTTGTTTCATTTTATTTGAGAATATAAATAAAAGTTTAAGGTATTTATATAAAGTGACTTGATAAAAGCATTTTTGTTTTTGGATGAAAATAAATACTGATGTAAATTATTATAGAAAGTGATACTCTTTCACCAAAATTTTATAGTTATTCTCAGGTGCATTTCAAAGCACTTAGTAGTAACCTAAATTGTACAATAAGTTATGAATTATTGTCTCCACCCATGATAATTTAATGAAGAAAATACAGGAAGACAAATTATTCTTTATTTATAAAAATGCTCTTCTCCTTAATTCTGTGATGAATGAATATGAAATATACAAGTACCAGAAGAGGATTAAAAATGCAATTTGCTCATTAGTAGGTTTAATTTACAAATGGAACCAGTTATATATACGCACCTAATTAGGAATGAAAGAAGGGCTGGTTTACTGTCACTATTTTAACAAGCCTCAGTATTTAGTGGTCATATCCTGTTATTTTTAGAACTGAATCTCATACTAATGGCCTGATGACACATCTTACAATAGAAGATTTGTAGGTGAAATAATGTATATGTTCACTAAACAATCCAAGATGAGAGTATAGCTATACCAGCCAACTTAGAACCCATTTTCCAGAACAAGCATTGCACTAGGGCTAGTAAATATGTAACGGCTACTGTAGATAGGGCTCAGGCATGCTTATCATAGAGACATAAAAACCTGCTTCAGGGACACTATGATGAAATTCCTGGACTATGCTATGGTTTATACAGTTATTAGCATTGGTGCATCTGCACCGGGGCTGAAGAATGAGTACTACATTTAATAGAGCACATGTAGATTCTGACACTATCCACGATAAATGCTGGTTTTGTAACATGTTACCAAAATGAATTTGAAGACTGTCAATGCTCTTAAAGCAATACAAATATGACTAACTTGTGCAATAATGTTTCCAGATATTCAGGCAGCAATACAGTTTAAAAATAAACATGCCACTGTATCCTCTGTAATCTCACAGGAAAACGAAACTCAATTTTTTTCAACTAACTATTCCAGACAATAACAATTAAATCACTCTGATAAATAACAGTTTATTTTTAAGATCAAATCCTTAAAACATCAAACAAAAATAATATCAGAAAAATGCACATTAAAAACTGCATTTCATAGAATCATAGGACTGGACGGGACCTCGAGAGGTCATCGAGTCCAGCCCCCTGCCCTCAAGGCAGGACCAAGCTCCGTCTACACCATCCCTGACAGATGTCTATGTAACCTGTTCTTAAATATCTCCAGAGAGGGAGATTCCACCACCTCCCTTGGCAATTTATTCCAATATTTGACCACCCTGACAGTTAGGAATTTTTTCCTAATGTCCAATCTAAACCTCCCCTGCTGCACTTTAAGCCCATTACTCCTTGTCCTGTCCTCAGAAACCAAGAGGAACAAATTTTCACCTTCCTCCTTGTGACACCCTTTTAGATATTTGAAAACCACTATCATGTCCCCCCTTAATCTTCTTTTTTCCAAACTAAACAAGCCCAGTTCATGAAGCCTGGCTTCATAGGCTTCTCTAGACCTTTAATCATTCTTGTCACTCTTCTCTGTACCCTTTCCAATTTCTCCACATCTTTCTTGAAATGTGGCACCCAGAACTGGACACAGTACTCCAGCTGAGGCCTAACTAGTGCAGAGTAGAGCGGCAGAATGACTTCACGAGTTTTGCTTACAACACACCTGTTGATACAACCTAGAATCATATTTGCTTTTTTGGCAACAGCATCACACTGTTGACTCATATTCAACTTGTGGTCCACTATGACCCCTAGATCCCTTTCCGCCATGCTCCTTCCTAGACAGTCGCTTCCCATCTTGTATGTATGGAACTGATTGTTCCTTCCTAAGTGGAGCACTCTGCATTTCTCCTTATTAAACCTCATCCTGTTTACCTCTGACCATTTCTCTAACTTGCTAAGGTCATTTTGAATTATGTCCCTATCCTCCAAAGAAGTTGCAACCCCACCCAGTTTGGTATCATCTGCAAACTTAATAAGAGTACTCTCTATCCCAATATCTACATCATTGATGAAGATATTGAACAGTACGGGTCCCAAAACAGACCCTTGAGGAACTCCACTTGTTATCCCTTTCCAGCAGGATTTAGAACCGTTAACAACAACTCTCTGACTACGGTTATCCAGCCAATTATGCACCCACCTTATCGTGGCCCTATCTAAGTTATATTTGCCTAGTTTATCAATAAGAATATCATGCGAGACCGTATCAAATGCCTTACTAAAGTCTAGGTATATGACATCCACCGCTTCTCCCTTATCCACAAGGCTCGTTATCCTATCAAAGAAAGCTATCAGATTAGTTTGGCATGACTTGTTCTTGGCTATTCCCTGCTGGCTATTCCCTATCACTTTATTACCTTCCAAGTGTTTGCATATGATTTCCTTAATTACCTGCTCCATTATATTCCCTGGGACAGACGTTAAACTGACCGGTCTGTAGTTTCCTGGGCTGTTCTTATTCCCCTTTTTATAGATGGGCACAATATTTGCCCTTTTCCAGTCTTCTGGTATCTCCCCTGTCTTCCATGATTTTTCAAAGATCATAGCTAACGGATCAGATACCTCCTCTATCAGCTCCTTGAGTATCCTGGGATGCATTTCATCAGGACATGGTGACTTGCTGACATCTAACTTTCCTAAGTGATTTTTAACTTGTTCTTTGTGTATCCTATCTTCTAAACTTACCCTCTCTCTGCTTGTATTCACTACGTTAGGCACACCTCCAGACTTCTCGGTGAAGACCGAAACAAAGAAGTCATTGAGCATCTCTGCCATTTCCAAGTTTCCTGTTACTGCTTCTCCCTCCTCACTGAGCAGTGGGCCTACCCTGTCCTTGGTCTTCCTCTTGCTTCTAATGTATTTATAAAAGTTGTTCTTGTTTCCCTTTATGCCTGTAGCTAGTTTGATTTCATTTTGTGCCTTTGCCTTTCTAATCTTGCCCCTGCATTCCCGTGTTGCTTACCTATATTCATCCTTTGTTATTTGTCCTAGTTTCCATTTTTTATAGGACTCCTTTTTTATTTTGAGATCATGCAAGATCTCCTTGTTAAGCCAAGCTGGTCTTTTGCCGTATTTTCTATCTTTCCTACACAGCGGAATTGGTTTCCCTCATTCCAATTTATGCACCTACCAACTTCAAGATGAGCATTTTTTTTTTACAGCTTGTATAAATAAAACTTTATTTTCAAACATCAGATTTGGCGGTGGGTCCTCATGGCCTTTTCCGGGTGAAAGCAAACTTTGCCTCTTCTCAACAGAACAAGGGAGTAGCTAACAATTAATGCTTTGATTTCCTCTCTCAGAGATTTCTCCCACAGGTATCTCTGCTAGAGAGGATGATCTTGTGCATTATGAGGTATTTGTTTCAAAGGTTCTTTTTAATCAAGCTTTAGGACTTGTTTGGAGAAAATGTTTCAAGAACAATAGAGGTACTCCAGAAATATTTCTACACGTATGTTTTACTGATAAAAAATATTTTAAATAAAACCTAAAAGGTAGAAATCTGCTGCTCCACACTGTAATGCCAATATACTTATTATATTTAGAGTTTATAGACTGTATCTTGTTTGCAGTTCTGCCAAGCACATGGCTGGTGCTGAGAATAACTCACTAACATTGACTCAGAAGAATAGCCGTGTTAGTCTGTAAAAACAATGATCAGACATGCGACACCTCAGAGACTAACAAATTGATTAGATCATGAGCTTTCATG